TGGCAAAGCCTCAGAAGCGCGGGAACCCGCCCGGTGCCCCTGGTCTGCTGGAGACGGTCTCCAGCAGACCAGGGGCACCAGAGCAGCTTACGAACGGGGCTTTCTCGCCCCGACTTCCGGGGCGAGAAAGCCCCGTTCGTAAGTGCGGATCCGACGTAAGTCGGATCCGCGTAAGTCGGGGACTGCCTGTACTGAAAATACTGAAGAAGTTAAGGGTAAAGATTAGAGAGGTTTCATCTCTGTTCCACATCCCTAATTCTGCTCCCCCTTTAACACTGAGGAAAGGCAAGCAGCTGGAAATGAGCGTATCAGTAAAAATGGTACATTATACAGCACTGAGATAGTTGGACTGCTTACATTCAGCACAGAACACCTCATTGGCTACGTCTAGACTGCATCCCTCTGTCGACAGAGGGATGCAAATCAAGCACATCGAAATTGCTAATGAAGCAGGGATTTAAATATCCCATGCTTCATTAGCATAAACATGGCCACCGCTTTTTTTTTTCTTTTCGAAAAAGCTCTGTTTAAAAAAAAAAGGGGGTGGCCATGTTTATGCTAATGAAGCGCAGGATATTTAAATCCCTGCTTCATTAGCAATTTTGACGTGCCTAATTTACACCTCTCTGTCGACAGAGGGATGCAGTCTAGACACAGCCATTAAGATTAATGAGCCACTTCACAACGCTCTTAAGGGATGTCTACACAGCAACATTATTTCGAAATAACTAGCATTATTTTTAAATAACTTAGTCTGCGTCTGCACAGCAAGCAGTTATTTTGAAATAATGTCAACCTGGAGGACTTCTTACTCCAACTCCTGCTCCCTCATTGTACAAGGAGTAATGGGAAGTCGGAGGAAGAGCGCTCTATTTCAAAACAAGTGCTGTGCAGATGCTCCCAATTTTGAAATGAGCTACTCAATTGCCGTAGCTCAATTTGCGTAGCTTATTTCGCAGTAAGCCCTGCTGTGTAGATGCACCACGTGTCCTATGCTGTAGATAAATATGTATTGTTCCTTTCCCATACAGTAGGCCCAGGCCTGAAGTTGTGGACTTAGCAACAATGAGGATGGAATGCATATATGAATATAAGAGGAAGGGGTCAGTAGTGGGCATGACAAGGTCATCATTGGAGGAGATGGAACAGTGTTGGACCGGGGCGAGGGATTCTGGGCAGCGGGGAAGAATTTAGGAGCAATTCAAGAGTATGAAAGGAAAGCTGTGCAGTAGGTAATATTGGTGGCTTTGAACTCTGTCCCTCAAAATCCTCTTTCATCCGTTTTCCCCTTGCAATGTTTGTTTTTAAAAAATATGTTCCCCACTGACTCAATGGTAGTCCTTGCAAGGTTCCTGAATTGTCTCCCCAATTCTACAGCCTGTGCTTCTCACTCCAATACCCATCTCTCCCTGTGGAAGTGGGTTGAAGGAGGAGAACCAGGCTGTGACACAGGCAGAATAAAAAATGACAAGGAGGTGATGTAGAGGTAGTGAAGGGACTACCATCCAGACAGTGCATTCTGTAACCAAGGCAATCAGGAGCCAGAGGCAGAACAAAGAGAACAGGGCTATGGAACATGGGGATATTAAAAAACTATTCTTAAAAAAAAAAAAAAAAAGAAAAGTTACCACAACTTCATTAATGCAGTTATGGTTGCCCAGCAGAGCCTTCTGCCCTTTTAGAAGACTGAATTCAGCTACGCCCAAAAACTTCCAAAAACCAGAACAAGAAGAGCTATGCTAACAAAAACAACATTGCAGAAGAAGACACAGAAAGTTGAGTTCGCATTCTCCCCACAATGCTACCTTAACTCTGTTCCCTAGAGCTGGAAACAGCCATTGGAAATTACTCAGGATGGGATGTGGCGCAATAAGAAGTTGTCATGAGGAAGTTCTAAGGGAAAGTGCCGTTTGTGGTGCTGTACAAAAAATGTGAATTCCAGCATTAATCTCCATTCACTCCAACTACCTCACTTCTTGTATTGAACAATTAAGGATTAGTTGGAGGAGATTTGCAGAATTGTTTCATTAATACCAGGAGGAGTGCATGTTTACTTTGAAAGGTTAGGTATTCTTTAATTCAGCACTATATTCTGGAGGCTGGATCAGTTGAGATGGCACAAAAGGATTTTCTTGTAAGTAATCTAATGACATACAAGGCAGTGGTCTCTGGGGTTTAGAGAGAGGTAAGTTGAGACATTCTCCCAGAAGAAATGTTAGAAATATTCTGAGCCAGGGTGAAGGGTAAGGATGTTAAGAGGCGGATAAATGGCTAACCATGTAGTTGATACAATTGTTATCAACTACGTGATTATAAGGGAAGGTGCTTGATCCTGGCTCGTGACAGGTCCAGGAGCTACCCCTGCTGTGCCTTTGCAATTTAAATGTACTAAGAGCTAGTCTGCCAGCCCACCGCAGAGACGGGCTGCTACTGGAGCAACCTCAGCTTGCAGTGAGCTTGGGTCCACTGCAGGCAGAGGCTGCTTTGCAGCAGCCTTCCCTGTCCCTCCTGCTCTGCTGCATTTGATAGAGGCAGCGGGGGGGGGGTGGGGGAAGAGGCATCGCACAGATGGTGTAGGGGGAATCTGGCTTTTAAGCCAGCTCCTGCTTCCCCTCTCCTCCTCCCGCCTTGCTGACTCTGAAAGAGAGGCAGCAAGGAGGAGACTGTGAGTAGTCAACTCCACTACTCTTTTACATCCCTAATGGGGGGAACAGGCAGCAGCACAGAGCAGCTCCCCCCAGCCCTGGCTCAGGTTTCCCACCACCACCTCTGATACACAGACAGCAAGCAAGGAGGAGGGGTGTGAGTAGTAAACTCCACTGCCCAATAAGCCAAGGCTTATCAGGTAGTCAACTACTTGCTTACATCCATAGTGAAGGGTTGGTGATATTAAAAAAGTCTGGGATGGTTTGTGTGGAGTAAGCTCGATGTTTAATTGTAGGTCAAGTGTAAGTAGCCTCGCCTTGCTACCCCTGACTAGACCTGAGTTTTGTCTTAGCAAGAGAAGGTTTTACACTTCATCCTCTAATGCACAGGTGCTATATTCCCAGAATACCATGTAGCATTTATAGCAGTGGTTCTCAAACTTTTTGGCTCATGGTCCACCTGGCTCAATGCAAACCGTTCAGTGGACCACCAGTTGCTAATGGACACTCAAAATTAGGCTGGAGCCTAGTGCTGCAGCTAGGGAGAATGGTTTAATTTAACTAGAAAGAAAAGCAATATTAAACAGAGTAAGCCTTTAACTTTCTCATGTTAGTTTATCAAACTTCATTTTAGATAAAGTAAAATATTAATTTATGTCCAACACAAAAAAAGGTGTCAATATTTTCTTTATTCATGGTAGAGGTGGGAATCTTTTTTGGGTGATGGGCTACTAACCCACAGAAAAATCAGTTGGGGACCACATAAGTGAGATGCAAAAAAAAAAAAAAAAAATCACCTCCAAAACACCCCAACAGTCATTGATGTGGCCCCCTGGGACACCTCACTTCTCTAGAGCTCCAGCCCCGTGGGGTGAGCGGGAGGGACAGGGAGGAATGAGGTTCAGGACTTCCCATAGGCCATACTCTTCTGGGGACCCAGGTTAGTGGATTTTGAGTGGACCAAAGCTTTAAGGTGTGGACAAAAATGAGGGGTTCAGTATGTGGGACAGGGCTGCCAGTGAGTGGGATAGGGATGAGATGCAGGATCTGAACCACAGAATCCTAGGGCTGGAAGAGAACTCAAGAGGTCATTGAGTCCAGCCCCCTGCCCTAAGCAGGACCAATCCAAACTAAATTATCTGGGCAGGAGATGGAGTGCAGGAGGGGGTGTTGATGCAAGATCTGGGCAGGAGATGGCATATGGGAGCAGGAGAGGGTGCAAAGTCTGGGTGGGAAGTAGAGTGCAGGAGAAGGGTGAGGGTAGGGTGTCTAGCCAGAAGGGAGGATGCAGAAGCGGGCTGGGAGAAGGGTGTCTGATATAGGGGGAGGGTGCAGGAGCGGGATTGGGGTATGGTGTCTGGCTAGGGAGAGGGTGCAGAAGTGGGCTGGGGGTGCAGGGTCTCAGTGGGGGTTGCTGCAGAAGCAGGGATGTGGGGGGTCCGGGCATGAAGGGGCGTACCCCACGATGCTTCCAGGCATCGTGTTCCAGGGACAGCCTCCCACTGGCTCCCAATGGGGAGCAGCAGGAAAAGCCTCCAGACGGCACGTCTGTGTGCTGCTGTTCCCCAAGTCGGGGGAGGAGCAGCAGCAGCACACAGAGCTGCTTCTCACTCTGTTTCCCTATGAAATTGGATCCGGCGGGGAGGCTTGGGGTTTACCTCCCCACTCCATCCCAGAGGGAAGCCTGCGCTGGCAGTCCAACAGCATGAAGGAGGGCAAGGCTGAAGCGCCAGCATGGGCTCTATAAGGATAAAGCGCTAAAATGTGTATTATTGTGACTTGGGGATTCACTTGAGGACAGAACTAAGGTTACGTTGTGAGGCAGGGTATGATAAATTGGTCTCTCTTCGTTTTCAGAGGTTTAAGTTTGCTTTGCTTTCATTCTTTTCTTCATTTCCTAGGTTTCAGAGATCTGACTGTAGCTGAACTCAACCTTTTGGAAGGGCATAAGTCACTCCTGTGCAATCTTAATTTTGTGATTAACCAATTTGGGGGGCATTTAATTTTACAACTTTGCATCAGCCATATGACTGGAGTATTTTTACAACAGTCACTGAATATTCAATTCAAGAAAGATAATTACATTTTCAGCTTTTTTCCCCAGTCATTGTTCATGAGAATACCTTGTTAAACCCAGAAAATACTTTAAAGTAGTAAACTATATAGAAACACACACCGTGTAAAATAGGAACTGCACCTTCCAAAGTTTGGTTTCTCTAGTAAAAGAGAATTACCAAGTCCATAACTGGTGTTCTTCAAGATGTACTGCTCGTGTCTACTCCACATTAGGCTTGTGTGCTCACCACATGCACTGGTGCTGGAAGTTTTTCCTCTCAGGAATACCCATAAGGGAGTGACTCTAGTGACCCCTGGAGAAGCGCCTCCTGCTCCCCATAGCCCCCAGGTCCCTCTTGCCTTCAACTCAGACAGTGGGGACGGAGGGTGAAATGGACATGAGTAACATTTTGAAGAACACCAGTTACAAAACAAATAACTGTTTTTCCTTCTTCAAGTGATTGCACATGTCCATTCCACATTAGGTGACTCCAAGCAGTATCCATGGAGGCAGGTAGGAGTTCATGGTCATGTGGACTGCAGCACAGCTCTGCCAAAACCAAATGTCGCCTTTGGTTTTCTGAATGATGGTATAGTGAGATGTAAATGTTTGATGTGAGGACCACATTGCAGTTCTACAGGGTGCTCTTTGGATTTGCATGTGCACCAGGAAGGCTGCTGAAAATGCCTTAAGCCCTGGTTGAGTGGGTCTGGATGATCGATGGTAGAGGGACCTTTGCCAGCTTGTAGCAGGTCCATATGCATGAGGTGATCCAGCTGGAAAGCTGCTGCATGGAAAAAGGCAGTCCTTTTATTCTATCGGCAGTAGCGACAAAGATCCGGAGAAGGAGAGTTCAACTGGACTCTCTCCAGAACGTTTCCTGGAGTAGTGCACCATGGCATGGCTGTAAGTACTGCTGGAGGAAACCTTATCCAAGTGGTTCAAAGACTGGGAGTAAGCCAACACCAGCCACATGCAGAGTGTGAAATGGCCACATGTAGAGCCTGCTGTGACCGACTACGAACATACATGCCTACATATGGCCCAATAGGCACAGACAGATCCTGGCCATGGTCAGAGGAAATGTGGACACACGCACTATGTAAGGCTTGCCAGAGCTTGGAATCTGAGCAGACCAGGAGTGGTGCTGAGGTCTTGGGGAAGTAGGAGCCAGCCACGGTGCCCAAGGTAAGGCGCATGAGCTTCAGTCTGCCTACACTGAGGCTCTGGCAAGTGTCTCCTCAAATTTTGGCTCCTCCTTTCATAGTCAGGGGAATGGAAGATTGCATGTGAAGTCCACCTCCCAGTATCCAAGGGGGTAGTGGGATGAAGATGCCTAGAAAGGGCCCAACATGGACTCACCCCTCAACCGTGCTGCTATGTGTGGGTAGGTGCTGCCAGCTGTGGCAAAACCAAATGCCTTGTGCTGCCTGAAAGACCTCTTGTGTAGGCTTCTTCCATGTGCCACAAGCCTTCACTGCTACTCAGCATCACTAGAGTGGGATGGAGGGATGGATCATTCTGCCTAAATCAGTTCACGAACTCCTAGATGGAGATGTTGAGCTGCCCACCACAGGTCTTGGCTCTCCTCTCAACTTTCCCTAGTGTTACATAAGGGCAAGGGAGTGTCCCATCACCAGAGACTTCAACATCTGGACTTGAGATGGTGATAGAGAATGGTGCCGTCCTCACAAGGGTACCAGTGGAGCACTCTACACTGAAGTTACCGTGCTTAAGGCAGAGGCTGACCTCTGAGGATTCTCCCCAGCACCTGCTCACGGCCGCTCGCTCTGCGCACATGCCCCAGTGCCCTCTCATGGCCAGCCGCTCTGTGCATGCGCCTCAATACCTGGAGGGAGAAGTGCGTGGCAGCGGCAGCAGCTCCGGGACCCAGGCATTGAGGGGGGCAGGGGGTGCCTGGCTCTGGGGGGAGAGGAGAGGGATTGGGTTACAGCAAGGCGCTGGGGGTGCCTGGCTCTAGGGGAGCGGGAGGGAACTGGGTTAAAGCAGAGGGGCTGGGAGTGCCTGGCTCTGGGGGAGAGGAGAGGGACTGGGTTAGAGTGGGGAGAACTGAAGCACCTTAAACTCAAAGTCTTCATGGATGCAGCCAACACAGATGTCATATTGAAATTCCAGGGCAAAAAAACCAATCAGCATGTACCTGGTGTACACTGTGTTTCTTTAAAGAAAATTCAAAGGCTATTGTTTTCCAGGCTGAAGCAATTATTCTGATACGAGTCTCTCCCTTCTTGTTTTTGAACCTCTCATATTTGCAGTCTGGGACAGACCTGAATTTTTAGAACTATAAAAAGCCATAATCTTCATAAGTAAAAAAAAAATGAGGAAACCATACCAGAGATCAACAAGCTGAAGTGAAACAGGCTAATTTAAATTGTGCTAATTTACTTGTCAGTTCAGTTTAGCTTAAAAAACTTACAAGTATTATATGGCAGTAGTGTTAAATTTAAAATACAGGGGGGGGGATGCTTTTTTTTTTTGGCGTGAGAATATTACTGTATTTTTAAAAGGTTTTTTGATGTTTGTTCCTTGTGAAGTTCTCTGAAGATCTATGGACCGGCAATGATTTTTTTAAGTGACTAGAGACTTTTTTATTGGTTTTGTCCTAAATGGCCAGTAATGTTATTTTATCACTAGACTTTGTGTACTATATCTATCTATCTATAGATACATACAAATAAATATATCATATATGGCTCTTCACACACTATCCACAGCTATTTTGGCTCTTCATCTCTAACTGGTTGTCCACCCCTGATCAAAGTTATATGTGTAAGTGGATCACACGAATGATTCTTTAAGAAATTCAGAAAATTTTCACATTTCAGTTATAATACCCCAGTACAGTCCATAATGATTCCTCAGTGCAGGAAAAGCTACACAGTGCTAGAGATAGATGTGAATTCCAAACTGCTTAATATAATGTTTTATGGTACTAAAAAAAAAAAAAAATAGAATTACCAGATAAATCATCACCAGCTTTTAGCATTACTAACTTTTACTATCAATTCTACAGAAGTAGTAACTTTTTGCAATGAAATTATGACATTTAGATGGTTACTGGCATGTCAGAATTTAACATATTACTAAAAATTAAGTTACAGAATTTTTGAAAGACATCTATAATATGACACTTTTCTAACCATTTAAATACAAAAGCTTCAAAGATTTCATTCATTTGTAATTTGCGTTTATATCAGAAATTCCCATTTTCAACAGAGGAATTTTTTTATGCTTATAGGAAAACTTACTTTGGCAATTCTTGTTCAGATGACCTGTCAAAAACAATAAGCAAAAGTAAGATAAATATCTTCATGATAATTGGAACAAAGTACATCACAGTTCTAATCTAAGAAAACAATTTCATAGCAATTTAAGGACCTAATTCAGAACAGGAAAGAGAACCTGAACCCAAAAAATGATTCAATGTGTTCTGATGTGTCAAGAACTATTAAAACAAATCCAAGCATTTCATTTGTTATTTATCAATTTAAAATATTTTACCATGCCCCTCTATTCAAAATAGTTGAGGCAACTTACATCTTTCATTCTCTCCCTCTCCCTCTCCCTCTCCCTCTCCCTCTCCCTCTCCCTCTCACACACACACACACACACACACTCACTCACTCACTCACTCACTCACTCACTCACTCACTCACTCACTCACTCACTCACTCACTCACTCAAAAATACAGGAAGTATTACAGCAAGTAAAATTTCTAGCACAAAGTCAGCTAACAAAAACATTTATCTACAATCATAAACCATGCGGATGCACATCACTCAAAATGGAGCTCTTTGTCATGGCCCAAAAGGACTATAGCAGGAACTGCTGATGCTCTGCAAAAACCACATGCTGAAGACATAAATGAAATTGGCATGGCCATTCAAGTTAGCAGACCTGAAGTGTATCTTATATTTGCTCCTACAATGCAAGGGAGAATGGCTGCTTAACACAGAAAGCCTGCAGACAAAAGCGTAAGTGCATGCATATGTGTACCACGGAATACAGGAAGCAAAGGCAAGTTAACTGATGGTCATTACAGAAGCAAAGGCAAGTTAACTGATGGTCATTACAGAGCAGCTTGATCAGGAAGAGCAGGGGTTTCCCGAGCTTTTTCAAAATGTGGTCGATAGCTCAATAAAGATGTTGACTGGTGGACAGCTCCTCTCCAATTCATGATTGCATAAATACCTCCCTTCCTTGCAGTCAAAACATCCTTGTGTCAACTCAGCAACAGCTTAAATGGAGAAGACTAGGAAAATATTTAATGTATTTTTAGCTTCTCTCAATGTGACAGAGCAACTGAAAATAAGGAGGAGAGCCAGCACCATATGACCAGCCATATGCTGCAATGGACAGGGCCCTATGTGCTTTGTGATTTTTCTACCATTGAATTTGCTGACAAATTGTGCTCCAAATTATAAGCTTCTTTTAAAATACTTTAACAAATATTTGCATTTCTAGTACTTCTGTATTATGAACCGAGCATAAATACGAATTGGACAGAGATGACTACAGAGAGCCTGAAATAACATTTCCAGAAATGTAAAATGCTCCCTTTCCATCAATGGTGTTTTAACATTAAATTGAATGACTATTTAAAAGGCTAGCAGTGTTAATTATCTTACTTTTGATCACTGAAATGTACAACTAATGTCCTTATCCTATTACAGAGCAGCTTGATCAGGAAGAGTCGGAGTATCCCCCAAGTTTTTGCTGTCCCAAACTTCCTCAAATGACAAAATCTCTAGCTTCTCTTCAGAATACTTTACAAAACAGTTCTGAATTCTAAATAAAAAAGTTTTGCAGAAGAAAGAAAGTTCTTTTTTCACAATAACAAATTGAACACAAGGAATACTGAAGCCAGTGCATGATTCTTTTTTATATTTCATTTAGTAAAACGGATTTTTAAATGTAACTGAAGCCATTAGCAAATCTGTGCAACTTACATGCTTTATACTTCAGCATTCGACCTTGTTTGACTCAATAAGAAAGAGAAACTGGGTGGGGTGGCTAAATGCAGGGCAACTCAAACCACAGAGCATTCAGAACTAGAGTTTGGCCATTACTAGACATGCTCAGTCAGTAGCTCTTTCTGAATCTGTTTAAGAAGCAGGTTTCCCTGTAAGCTGAGTGATTGGGTGGCCACGCAGGAGAGATTCAGGTGCTGCTTAGGTGATCAGCAGAGCGCCCACAGCTCTTGCAACATGTTTCTACTGGTGGTGCACAGCTGCACATAAAAGGTATTCTGCACATGGATGGAAAAAATTAGAGAGAGAACACTGATGGGACGTTTTCATTGTGTTCAATCTGCCTGAGAGGTCACCCTCCAAAAGCTGAACCTATCAGACCATTAGATGGTGGGGGAGGAGAGAAGGCAAGGTTCTGAATGTAGGAATTAAAAAAGATTTGGACTCAGCAGCTGATCAACATAGAACCAAGAGATATTGTGAGGGCTGCATCCTAGTCCTGTAGAATTTTGGATGCAAAGAAATGCTATTTCAGCATTACTTACCAGAGAAACCCTTCATTGGGATGTTTGGTCCAATGTAGTCTATGTTACAGACTTGGAAAGCATTTGTTGCCGAAGAGGCTAATTAGTCCACAGAACTTATATTGAGCTATCCACTAACAGCTCTAGGGATAGAGCTTAGTGTGGTGAAGGTTTGTAAATTCTTGCCTGACTTAGCTGAGCTTATGGTGCCGATAGCACGAGAACTTTACAGAGATCCAGGGAATGGATGTTTTATATGCTGATCCCAATATGTATGCCATTTTTATCACAGGCGGTTTCCTCTGCAACTGAGGAACAGTCATTAACCCAAGGGCTGGAATACATCTAGCTATGGAGATCCCCAGACTGTTTGCTAATGGGTTCTGAAGTGTTGAAAGGACAGATGTTCCCATTGTTCTCAAGCTCAGGGGAGTCCAGGAAACACACAGTATGGCCACACTATAGACACTAAGAAAACATTTAAGAGAAAATGAGAGGAGAATATGCTGGTGTGTGCATGCACTTAAGTATAAAAATATGTTATTTTGAAACTTACTATTTTAATGAATGTAACAGAATAAAATGGTAGGACTTACTATAAGAAATAATAACTTTTGTTTGAAGATTATTCAAAGATTATTTCCAAATACCATTTACCATGTTTTATACTGTTTACTATGAGCATTAAATGTTTTACCAAAACAGGGTATGGTATTGTCTCTTTGAAACAGATCGGAAACTATTAAGACACATTAACCTTCCAGCTGTTGTATATGCTAACATTCTGTGAAATGCTTTAAGAAAAATTATGAACAGACAGGGCTCTAGTCTGTGCTTCAGTGAAGAGTTAAACTGAGGTGCAGGGAGGAGGGAGTTTAACAGTTACACATAATTGTTTTACCATGATGGAATCGTAGAATCATAGTGTTGGAAGAGACCTCAGGAGGTCATCGCATCTAACCCCCTGCCCAAAGCAGGACCAACCCCAACTAAATCATCCCAGTCAGGGCTTTGGCAAGCCAGGATATAAAAACCTCTAGGGATGGAGATTCTACTAGGGATTTTAAATTGTGTTTAATCAGCTAATCGAGTGATTAGTCAATAAGGGGGGAACCGCAGAGCCACAGGAGCGTTAGCTCAGGCTAACCCTGTTGCAGCTCTGCCTTTTAAATGTATTAAGAGCCTGGCAGTTCTTAATACATGTAAATAGCAACGATACCCTGTTTGGGACTGGGTGTGAGCTGAGAATCAGCTGATTCCCAGCTCACACCCCATCCCCCTGCTAGCTTGTGCCTCTTGTACTCCCATCCTCCCCCCATGGAGAGTGTGCTGGTGGGAACCAGCTTTTAAGCCGACCCCCCAGCACCGACTCCTGCTCCTCTCTGAGAGAGTCAGCAAAGGTGGGTGCGGGGGCAGGGAAGAGCCTAGTCAAGTCTCTACTCGACTACCTGATAAGCATATGCTTATCGGGTAGTCGACTAGTTGCGTATATCCCCAGATTCTATCACCTCCCTAGGTAACCCATTCCAAAGCTACATCACTCTCCTTGTAAAATAGTTTTTTCTAATATCCAATCTAGACCTCCCCCACTGCAACTTGAGATCATTGCTCTTTGTTCTGCCATCTGTCACTACTGAGAACAGCCCCTCTCCGTCTTCTTTGCAATCTCCCTTCAGGTAGTTAAAGGCTGCTACCAAATCCCCCCTCACTCTTCTCTTCTGCAGACTAAACAAGGCCAAATCCCTCAGCATCTCTTCACAAGTAATGAAGGCCCCCCAATTATTTTTGTTGCCTTGCACTGGACTTTCACCAATGCATCCACACCCTTTCTTTAATGGGGGGCCCCAGAATAGGATGCAATACTCCAAATGTACTCCAGAATACTCTACTAGAATGCCACAATGCTGCACCAGAATGCTACAGAACCTGTGGACCTTGCCACAGAATTTGGTTATGAGGCAACAGAAAACCAACACTAAGGAATTAACTGCACACCATTATGGGGAGAAGCACTAGTGGACACACCACCTCACTGCCCTCTGTGGTGGGCAATAAGCAGCCTGTAGGCCAAGCACAATTTGCCAGCGTTAACTCCTGGTAAGCCGCCAGGATGCATTATTTTTCCTGAGTGTCTGCAAGTATGTCCACACACAGCTGCTACGGGCTGCAGTTTGCCATTCCCCGCCAATGGGATTTGCAACTATATGCTATTCAGTCTCTTTTCTAACAAAGAGGGGTGGGAGCTGTCACAACTGCCTATTTAGTACAATATTTGACTTACCAAGCTGTGTTATGACAGGATGAATATTTCCTTCATGAAAGCTATTATAGCATTTATCAGTAACACTGCTCATAGACAATGGCTTGCCTCTATTATACATTTTTCTTCAGAGCGCTTCACTATTCTGAATTTAGTTTTTTAATAGTTAAAAAGAAGTCTGTATACATCAGTTTGGGGGCTTTTGTAACATTTTCTGTCAATGCTAAAATGTTCCCTTTTTCACTTAATTCAATTTTAAAACACCATTAAATACCGACGCTCAGGCGTCACTTGCCACTTTTAATCTCTTCTATCATCGACTGTTCTCCTAAACATTAGTTCTAAATAATTACTTGGGCATTCAGATGGAAATTGGATATAGGACTAGGAATGAGAGCATATCACTTTTAAAAAAAAAAAATCCATTACATGGCCTACATAGCAACTCTGTTCCAAAATTTAGAAGGTTGAGAGATGGGCTGCATAAAATAGGAGCTAGCAGTTACACATGAAAAAA